TGTAGTCCACGAAAGCTTATGCTCTAATAAATTTGTTAGTCTCTAAGGTGCCATAGGAGGGCATGGCTCTCTATGGACAGTTAAAGAGAAAATAGGCTCCCTGCTTCAGCATTTGTGCAGTCTAAGGTAAGTACAGATGCAACACAATGCAATAACTGACAACTCCCACCAGAACAGGAAATTAAGAGCTGTGGGCCTGATTCTCAGAGGTGCTGAGTACCTGCAACTCCACAAATAGTTAATGGCAGCTGTGGGTGCTCAGTACCTCTGAAAATCAAATCACTTTACCTAGGTGCCAACAATCAACAAATGCATTAGATGTAAAACCAGTGATCTGGAAACCTGGTGCATCATAAAACTGTGTGCTGTTTAAAACAGTAACTCTTCACTGAGAAGTTGAATTCAGTCTGCAGCTCTTAGGTGATAGGATATTCCGTCTTGTTAAAATCGGGCAGGGTTAGTGCAATTCTGTTTCAAAAAGAAGGTAAATATGAGGCCTAATTCTGAAGCTCCCATGGACTTCAAGGGCAGGCATATATTGATTAGTTTTCCTTATTAATAATAATATTTGTATTACTGTAGAGCCTAGGAGCCCTAGTCGTGACCAGGACCCTGTTGTGCTAGGCACTGTACAAATAAAGAGCAAAAAGATGGTCCCTGTCCCACAAGCTTCTCTCTCATTATTCGTCATGATAGTGTGGAGTGAGCCAGCGCTGCACAGACACACAGTAAGAGTCATTCCCTGCCCCAAGGAGCTCTCCGTCTAAACAGGCAGGACCGACTAAGAGTAGGAGAAAGGAAAGTTGTCCCCATTTTACAGAAGTGGAAACTAAGGCACAGAGATAAAGTACATTTTTTCTCCCAAAGTCTCGCACACATACTGTGGCATAGCTAGAAATTGGGCCTAGCTCACATGCGTCCTAGCCAAGCGTGTTCACCACAAGACCATCCTTCCATCCCTTTATTAATATTGTGTTGAATAAAACTCTTGCTTACCAGGTTACGGATGTTGTAATTCTGAAAAGATGAGCCAGTCAAGTAAACCGAGTTTAGGATGTCAGCTAGCTGTGTCATTTGTCGTAGACCTGTTCTACCTCATATATTTTTTTTTTAAAGGCTGAAATAAAAGCATGGGAGTGACAGGTATTCAGCACACTTTTACAAGAAAAGGCCACTTTTATATGGGTCCTGAATATGGATGTAGATATCTAAGTTTAGGCTCCTAATTCTAAGGTAGATCTAATATGCTATTTGGTCTGTGTGCAGAATATACAGTAGAGATTTCTCAAACTGCAGCTTGAGCAAGAGAGGAAATTTTTGTGCACTCGGTTTATATAATTGTCTAAGTAACTCGAAGTCATAAGAAATGGACAGCCATGGAAGAAATACTTCAGCAAATCCACATGGTTGTCCATTTCTTCTAGTGCTGTGGCGAGGCAGTAGGTTGTAATTAATTTCATGCTGATTGAGTGGTTATCAAGTAAGGAGAAAAAAAAATCATCATTTACAATTTTCATGACGTGTTTTCATGACGTTGGTACCTATACAAACATTTGTGAATGCATTAGAGAAAAATCCTTTCCAGTAGTCCCTCTAGAGTTTGAAACAGACATACGCATGTGCATCTGCGTGTATCTATAACGTGCAGCCTGGGTGTAACAGCTGTCCAAATGAATCACTGCAGTTGTTCAGCTTGTATTGAAGAGAGTCCAAGATGTTTACAGAAGTGACTGGGAAACTCAGTTGGCTCCCTACAGCTGCAATAGAATCAGACGATCCAGCACAGGTCAGGATGGCTTGGAGTTGAACATTTTATGCAAGATGATGGGTGGAGAGCAAAGCAAGCCATGTTGGGATGTTTTGAAGATAGAGGATTTTTCTTAAGTAATGTATTTCTTCTACAAAGGCAGAAAATTCTTAGCTGTCATTGAGACAGTATATACAATTGTATAGTAGTATTCGCCCAGTTGAAAGCAAGGAGAATACCAGTATTCGGTGTGTGAATACTGAAAAATGGAAGCTATAAAACAGAGCGAGAATCTTGCAAGTGTGCTTGTATATATGCACACACACACACACACACACACCCTACCTTAATTTATAAAGCAGTCTGTTTATATCAGGGGTGGGCAAACTTTTTGGCCCAAGGCCCACATCTGGGTATGGAAATTGTATGGCGGGCCATGAATGCCCATGAAATTGGGAGTTGGGGTGTGGGAGGGGGGTGAGGGCTCTGGGGTGGGGCTGAGGATGAGGGGTTGGGGATGCAGGAGGGTGCTCTGGGCTGGGACCAAGGGGCTCAGAGGGCAGGAGGGGGATCAGGGTTAGAGCAGGGGGTTGAGGTGCAGGCTCTGGGATGTGCTTACCTCAAGCAGCTCCCAGAAGCAGCAGCATGTCCCCTCTCCCCCTTCTACGCATAAGGGCAGCCAGGGGGCTTTGCATGCTGCCCCGTCTGCAGGTGCCGCCTCTGTAGTTCCCACTGGCTGTGGTTCCTGGCCAATGGGAGCTGTGGGGGTAGCGCTTGGGGCGGGAGCAGCTTGCTCAGACCCCTAATTGCTCCTATGCATAGGAGCCGGAGCGGGACATGCCGATGCTTCCAGGAGCTGTGTGGAGCCAGGCAAACCCCAGCCCCCACTTTCCGGCAGGAGCTTGAAGGCCAGATCTTCAGAGCATCTGAAGGGCCAGATGTGGCCACTGGGCCGTAGTTTGCCCACCCCTGTTTTATATCGTAGTTCAGTTGCCTGATATCAGAGAATAATACAACACCCACGAGGTATTACATAGCAGCACATCCAGATAGAAATGTTTGGTTTTGAGTGGTTTTTTTTTAAATCAAATTTTCCATGGAAACTAAACTTTTTTTTTTGGGGAAGAATTTTATTTAGTCAGCAGGACAATTTTCCATTAAAAAAAAAAGTTTGGATGAAAATGTTTCACCTTTTTCTGTGTGTCTTTCACAAGGCAGGAGTGCTTGGTTTGTGGAACAAACATTACAGGAAAGGATGCTATAATATTTGTACACCCCCTACACCCATTCAACAGGGTTCTCTTGACACCTCTCATCCCATTTCCTCTGACATTAGCTAAACTCATTCCTTAACTGACATTCGCTTAATTCCAGAACCTGCCTGATATAATGACTATTAAGATTGTGCAAAAATAGGAAGTCGTGTGTGCATATGCATTTTCATGTGTGCAACACAAAATTTCATCTTTAAAATACTCAAAATACTTTTTTGTTCCAGGGCCTTTCACAGGGAGAAATTTTCTGGAGACAAAATGTTCATAGATTGACAAGAAAACCAGCAAACCATGTGAAAATGTGCTGGTTTTTTTTACGTTTCTATGTGAAACTGGGTCTTGGTGCAGCACTAAATTTTGAATTTCAAATGCTGGGATAAGCTATAAAAGGGAATAATAATATATAGCTATGATCCTTTCCAGCCATAGAGCTCATTATCCCCATTTTTCAGAGGAGGAAACTGAGGCATGTGAGTGGGAAGTGGCTTGCCCAAGGTCATGCGTTAGCAGCAGAGCTGGGAATGGAACCTAATTCCGGGCTTTATCCACTAGGTTGCACTACCTCCTTGGTTTGTAGGAGAAGGAAGGTAAAGACATTTTGGGAGAAGAAGAAACATAAGGAGGCAAGAGATGGGGAACATAATATTAAAAATAATAATAAACAAGATCTTTTGGAAAGGATATAGCCCTTTCTTGCTTCTGGGTATAACCCCCAACCTCTAACAAATCGGGGATTTAGAAGAAACTTTCCCTGGGGACAAATTTCCCTTTTAACTGCTGTTAAATGGTTTCATCCTGTGAAGTAGTTAATATTGGCCACTGACAGGCATGATGCTGGACTTACTGGACCACTGGTCTGATCCAGTCTGGTGACTCCTGTGGTCGTATAACATGGAAAGAGAGTGAGAGAAGGAAGAGAGGAAACAGAAATTGAAAATAGAGTAGAGAAAGATGCACGGGGATCTGGTACAGGAACGAAAAGAGGGAGGAAAAAACTGGAGTAAAGCCAGAAGGGGAAGGAAGGTTAAAACAAAGCAAGGGGGAGAGAGAATGAGTTATACATTTTTAAAAAGCGATTATTTGTGGATTGCCATTGTTACAATTCAATACAACAGATGATACACACTTATTATAACAATAACTTCTGCAGTAGAACCTTAGAGTTACGAACTGACCAGTCAACCCCACACCTCATTTGGAACCGGAAGTACACAATCGGGCAGCAGCAGAGCCCCCTCCCCTCCTCTCAAAAAAAAGCAAATGCTGTACAATGCTGTGTTAAACTTAAACTATTAAAAATATAAAGGGAAAGCAGCATTTAGTTTCACAGCTGTATGAAGTCAATGTTCAGCTGTAAACTTTTGAAAGAACCCTAATGCTTTGTTCAGAGTTACGAACAACCTCCATTCCTGAGGTGTTTGTAACTCTGAGGTTCTATTGGACTTCTTACATAGTGCTTTTCAACAGTAGATATCGAAGCATGTTACAAAGGAGGTTGGTCTGTTATCCCCATTTTACAGATGGGGAAACTGAGGCACGTGGAAATGAAGTGACTTGTCCCAGTTCACCTCCGAATCCAGTGGCAAAGATGGGAATAGAACCCAGACCTCCTGGGTCCCAGTCTAGTGCTCTAGCCACTAGCTGTCGCTGACCCATACACTTCACATTGTGCCTTCCTTTACACTGCAAAGCTTTGGGAGAGGTATGGATGCATGACAATCTTGCACCCTGACCTAGTGGGTGTAGTCTATGGGGGAGGAGGTGTTGGGTACAATTTTCCAAGCCCAGATCTTAGTGCTTTGTGCTGTATAATTCTAAAATACCAGGGTAGTACAGAGAGGCTAACCCATTATCTGCCTTTCTCCAAGCAGGCCACTTCCAATAGACCTCATCTTACCATGGGCTTCTGAGCTAACCACAGATTGTGCCTTCCCATGTGGAGGGAAAGGGCTGAGATGAACATGGAGTTGAACAACCTGGCAACTAGACGTGCGGGGGATCCATGCAGATAATTCCTAATGCCAAGAATTAGTCATGTCCTATTGTGGTTTAGGGACATGGTCCAGATGTCTGGATTATAACGTTTTGTTGCTAAAAACAGGGGTAAGTGTAGAACAGATCCAAGCAAAGTGTAAGTGAATGAGTTAGTTGTGGAGCCCCCTTGTCTATGTTGGAAGATCGAGGTCAGTTTGTTTGGGGTTCGCGATTTAGAAGTGAACCCATCGCTTCTTGGATTTACAAAGTGTAACTAGAACTGTACCAGTTGAATGCAGCAGTGCCCAGTGAATTCCTGAACTAGTGAATAGAAAAAGAGGAAAACAATATCCCCTGCCCCCTATCAGACAGTACATGAAGTAGCCACCCACCAACTAATAGAGAAACCACCACAAGGGAAAAGGGACAGAAATCAGACTGGAACTTTGAGCAGAGCAATAACAGAGCTTTTATAGAGAGTTTTTCGTTTCAAGCGCTTTACATACATGGGTCAGTATCATTATCACCATTTGACAGGAGGGGAAACTGAGGCGGAGTAACCTGTCCTAGGTCAGACAGCAGGGCAGTGGCACAGCTGGGAATAGAATGTTGGTCTCCGAGGCCAGCACAACAGTGTACAGTAAGGGGAAGAGAATTCCAGAGTTCTGGGGCTTTAACTGTGATGGTCCTGCCTGAATGGTCCTGCCTGTGAGGGTCCTGTCTGAAATTTTAACATCAGAGTTGGCAGCTCCATACCCATCAATCTTGTTTGCCACAGTGGGATGTGAAGCAAGAGGCACTCCCTCCTGTGGCCTAAATTATTGAAGGCTTTAGGCCAAGATTGTCAAGGGAGTCATGATTTCCGGTGCCCAACTGTTGATGCCTTTAAGGGGTCCAGATGTTCAGAGGCTGGGACTCCCTGTAAGGTGCACTCCAGATCAGTGGTCACTTTTATGAATAGTGGCTTAAAAAAATAACAGTACATATAGGATCAGATGAAACACCCTACTTCCGAACAGTGCCAAACTTTGTGGAGGTGGTGGCTGGCTAGAAAACTGAACCAAAGGGTGATTCAGAATTTGGCAAATGGCACTGTTTAGAACAGGTTGGTCCAAAACCTTTGAACATGCCTAAATTTGTGAGAGAGGAGGCAACTGGAAAATTTGCAAAATGGAGCCCCCGTTGGCTGAACCAAACCCTCACATCTGAACATTCTTGAAACTCAACCCAGATCTACCTTAAGTCTGTGTAAGGCTTCCATTACTGTAGTATCTGAGCACCTCACAATCTTTAGTGGGTTTATCCCCAACACCCTGGGAGACAGGGAAGTGCTTTTATCCCTATTTTGCAGATGGAGAATTGAGTCACAGACAGGCTAAGGATGGGATTCACTTAGGCACCTTAGTCCCATTGAAATCAAGGGGATTTAAATACCTTTGTGAATCCCACCCTCAGTGATTTGCACCAGGTCTAGTGGGAAGTCTGTGCTAAAGCATGAAATTGAATCTAGGTCTGTCTCCTGGGCCAGTACCCTAACACTGGACCATTCTTCCTCTGAGCTTTGGGTCTTGGACCCATCTCTGACTTAGAGTAAGACTTTGAATCACGCTCACTGCGCTATTTGTTTAATGCTTCTTAGTACAGTTATCTGTGTTTCTGTACCTGTCCATAGTAAACTGCACTGAGCTACTGCAGAGGAATGTATTAGTCTGCAGTTCAAAGCAACGACCGAACCTTTCCACTCTTCATTAGACATTGCACCTCCCAGCTTCCGCTCCACTTTCGACATGCGCCCCAACCCGATTTGTCTCCCAGCTCTGAGTGAGTGGGAGCTGCGAGTGCTCTGTGTAGCCCAGCAGGATCTATTCTTTCTAAGCCATTTCCATTTCCAGGCTTAACTGTGTGGTGTGGTGTGAGTATGTGTTTTTATTACGAAAGCAGTCTGCTCTTTAGGGAACTCTGCATAAGATTATGATTCACCTCCTTTGGAAGCACTTTTTCCATTTTCCAACATTTCTCCTAATCTAAACCAGTGAGCGTGGCTGCTTTTCCCAATTTCACAGGGAAAAGCACGGGGGAGGGAAGCAAAGCAGAGTTTGGCTAACCTCACAGGGTGTGTGTTCTTTAGCTGGACAAGTTCTAGTTAGAAGCAGTTAGAAGCAGTTGATCCATTTACCCCTCACTGGCGGCCTGCAGGAGCTGGAGTGAAGGAGACTTCACAGTCCTTGCTGATCCTTTCCTTTCCAACCTTGTATGGGCTGCAGCTAGATTTGCTTCAACATTTTTTTCTCAGAAACCAGGAGGTTTCAGCCCTCTCTTTAATTAACATTTTTAAGGAAGAGGCCAAAAAAAACCTGGAAAGTTGGTGAGACACTTGTGGTTGCTACGGTGGCTTCATGTTATTTTTCCTTTTAAGGCATTCGGAAGGTAGCAATTGAAATATCAGAAGGCATTTGTTATCTAGGCTATGGGGAAAACGCCAATAGCAATACCTTGGAGGAGAGTGGTCAGAAATCAAGAGAACTTGGTGGTATTTCCTGTCACTTTTATTTACATGTTTATTATTAATAATAATAATTGTATATTAAAATCGAGCCTAGAGGCTCCATCCAAGATCAGGGCCCCATTCTGTTAGGTGCTGTACAAACACGTAGAGCTTGTTTATACCAGGGTAAAAGATGTCTTTTAAAACTCTAGTGTAGACATGGCAAATTGGATTTCATGTCTACGGTGAGCAGTGACACACCGGATGAAGGAGGGTTGAGTGGCTAGGGTCCTTAGGACATGGGAGATCTAGATTCAAGTCTTTGCTCTGCCACAGATTTTTCCTGTGTGACTTCGGGCAACTTATGCCTACACTGCCATCAGGGGTGTGGCTGCAGCTCCCGTTGACACATCTGAGCTGGCTTTAATCTAGCTAGCCTGGGTGCCAGTAGTTGTAGCAGCAGCAGCAGCAAAGGCTAGCCTCATGAATACAGCCCTGCCCAGGACGCTTAAGCAGCTGCCACAGCTACACTGCTCATGTTACTTGAGGTAGCTTTGATCTAGTTACACACCGCCTGACTGCAGCATGGACCTGTCCAATGTCTCTTCGTGCCTCAGGCCTCTTTCTGTAAAATGGGGATAATAGCCCCGCCCTACCTCACAGGCTAAATACATTGTGAAGTGCTCAGACGCTGCAATATAAATACCTTATATAGATGGGGCTTTAGGACTGTAACTGGAGCTGTACTTTTTTTATACATAGGCTTGTATTGATCATTATTATAAACAGCTGAAGTAAGTGTCAGCTGTCCTATCTACCTTGGCTGACTGAATGAGTTCTTAGGTGTCATGCCAGAAGCCGGATCTTGAGGAAAGGGGGCAGCCTTGTGATGCAAGGGACAGTTTGTCACTTATCGGATTAGCGGGGTCAACCAGTGTTGTCATAGAATATCAGGGTTGGAAGGGACCTCAGGAGGTCATCTCGTCTAACCCCCTGCTCAAAGCAGGACCAAGTCCCACACAGATTTTTTTTACCCCAGTTTCCTAAATGGCCCCCTCAAGGATTGAACTCACAACCCTGGGTTTAGCAGGCCAATGCTCAAACCACTGAGTGTCAGTTGCTTGTGTCCTTCCCGTGTGCTTTCCCAGCTCTGTGCAGATAGCTGGTTCAGCAGACCATGATAGTACTACCCCGTGTGGTGAAGTGCTGGAGGCTGGAATGTCGTTGCCTCCGTAGCGCTCTTTAGGCTGCTCAGTGCTTTTGTTCTTGGAGCTTCATTGTTATTAGTAGATAATGCAGAAGACTTCAATGTTACTCACAAAGAAAGACCACAGGCACGGCTCAGTGACACAGGCACGTGGCCAGGCTTATTGCCACCTAGACCTACTCTCAGCTCCTTGGCTCCATAGTTACAGGCACACTGACACCAGTTCCTAGTAGCAAGGAATGGCTCAGTCGGCAGCAGGCGTTTGTGCCATCCCCTGGACCATGCAAAGAATTAAGGTAAAGAACCCTGACATTTATAGGCTAAGACAAACGACTAAAATACCCAACCAATACGCCACCTTACGATGTATTTCATAACTTCTATTCCTTACTTCCCCTTGTTCCTAATATCTTGGACAAAACATCCCTATTCACTATATTGTCAAACCATCGTATCTTGTACTCGACTGGGATGTAGCTGTACTGGCTGAAATATATTTACATAAATATCTAGTGCCTCGTCCACTAGCAACAACTTTGCCAAGTTCATGTACAGGACAGTGAACTTGTAAGCATCTGCTTTAATACAGGGCCTGACTTTGGTTCACAGCGTCTGGTTCAGGCCTCGGATCTTGCACCAAACTCTCTGTATTTGGTGTATGTTTGTCGTGGGTGTCTCTGAAAATATTTGTGTTACAGGAAGACATGGGGCATATGAGAATGATTTTAATCTAAGCCCTGTAAAGATCAGCTACCTACATCAATAGGCGGCTTAGAGTGAGAGAGAGAAAAGATAGGACCATGGACTGGAAGTCAAGAGACCTGCATTCTGTGCCACTGACCTGCTGTATGATCTTAGGCCAGTCATTTTGTCATCTATGTGCCTCAGTTTCCCCAATCTTTAAAATTGAGATAATAATACTTAATAGTACCGGCTGAAAAAACAGAGTATTTTTGTAAATAATTGAGAGGTATTT